GAGAAGAGCATTTGGTTTTATATAACTTTTCTCTCTTTCCTTTGCTTGTATATATCTACATAGTCTCAAACATGAACAATACATTTTGTTGGCTCACAGAGAAATGGCTGTGTACTTGGTAGTACATCTTGCATTAAATATTAGAATCATTTTTAAAATTCAAAAGGATTTGGCAGAGTTTCAACATCATTTTGTATCCACACATTTGAAATAGTTTTGTGGTGCCTTTTGCAGCGTTGGGGCCTCAGCAGTGGGAATGGTTGTTCGCATGGCTCAACAAGGTGTGTGCTATGTCTAATAAAGAGGAAAATACCAGGATTTTGTGTTCTCTACATAAGACTATTATATGATGGATTTATAGCTCTTGGTAGCTGTCATAACACAGGCTCTAATGCTACAATGTAAAACTTAAGTCCAAATATTTTTTTTTTTTCGTATACACTCTTTCAAATAAGTCTAAATACCACAAACTGGAAAGACTAGACCTGGGAGCATAATAACATCATGTAATAAGCAGGATAAGTCTGGGAGAAAAAAGTACGTTAATTCTCATCTAAGAAAATGAAACAGAAAGCATGACTAGAGCTGAACTTAAACTGATTCGATTCCTGAAACCAAATAATTTTTTCCCAATTCACCTCATCTAGTATGAAGTTGCATGACCTGCAAATTGTTTAACCTCCTTATGTCGCAGCTTTATCATCTCAACATGGAAAATTATAACAATATGATGCCACCAAATCAATAAGATTGTTGGCACAGAGTAAATGCTGAATACATATTAGTTATTATTATGATTCTTAAATTATCAGAGACATATTATATATTATAGGCATTAAGACTATGACTTAGGACCCCCCAAAACAAGAAAATTGCTCCTCCTTTTAATACTTATTATCGTCCTACTATGATTTTTGAGTGACTGAATGTATATGGAAATGATACTGGCTAAAACTGTGACCACTGTCACAGAACCTGCTTTATAAAGAATTGTCCTAAGAAGGAAAATACTATTGAGTTGAAATGAGATTAAGTCAAGACTGAAGTTGTTGTTAGTGTTTCCCAGGGAAGAAAGACGCAAGTAAGAAAAGTACATTGAAGTCTTTTGTAAAAATAGCATCACCCACATTGGTAACCATGAACACTTGGTTTTTTCTCTGTGGAGCAGCAGTAAAAATAGAGGGTCTGAATCTAGGTGACTGGGACTCGCTAGTCTTGGTAACACACTGGAGAGTAGAAAAAGAATGAAAATAAATTAGTGTGACAAGAGCTAAGAAAGATCGAGTTTTGATTTTCATTTATTGATTCATTCTTGTGTCGGTCTCAGGTGCTGTGCATACAAAGAATAAGAAGACATGGTCCCACCCTAAAGCACCTCGTGGGAGGCAGTCATAGAAACAGTCAGACAGGCACTAAAAGAGAACAGCAGAATCATGCACAAGGAACAGTGAGAGCTGGGGAAGGTAGTCAGCTTGACTACGAGAGGGGAAGGGCTCCACAGAGTATCAGAGTTTGTGAGTGCACATCTCCCAAAGGCTGCCCATGATAGACTTCTAAGAATTATTTTCATCCCATAACTTTCTGCAATGCTGTTTTTCTTTTGGGTTATTTTCTATTTTCTAAAAAAGAATAACAACAGGAAACCTCCTTAGAGCATTTCAATGAGTTTTTCCCCCTCAGTAGAATATGAACAAGAGGTGAAAGAAAAAGCTGCTGCCAGGTTGTTAGTGGATTCTGAAGGAGAGAGCCTCAGATGGAAGGTACCTGGCAGCAAAGAAGGGAAGGTGGCAGGCCAATTCCTGGGGTGCACAGGAAGAAAGAGACAAGAGGAAGAGACTGGCTCAAGCTCTGGCTACTTTCTAATGTATCTTTTTCCATATCAGGCCCTGCTCCCATCTTCTGAGCCCTCTTTTTCCAGCCTTCCCAGGCACACCCATCTGCTTCCCTAGAGACCTTAGAAAAGATAGCTTCTGGCCATGGAAAGATATGCTTAGAAGTTGGTTGGTAACCCCTCACTGGGTGACCCCCTCCCAGGAATACAGCCATTTTTAGAAGGAAAGTCAGGAAGAACAAAAGTTTTCTAGATTCAAGGGATTATCTCTTCAGTGACAGAATGGCAAGTATGAGCACAGGCCATTGGGATCTACTACCCCCTCCTGACATACAAATCATCCTGCATATGTTGTCGTGTACCATATCTTCTAAGAGGCTGACTTGGTCAAAGAACAGAGAAACCTTGTAACCAAGAAACTGATTATGGTCTACAGCAGTAGACCATAATAAAGAACTGAGATCAATATATATATATATATATTTTTTTTTTAATAGAAGGGAGTGCACTTTCTGGGGAAATATGGTTATGGGAAGGTGAGTCTGGTTCCCAGGGATACATCCAAGTAAACAGGGCTTTAATCTTCATTTCAGGTTACCACTTTCTTGGCAGAGTCCAACTGGCTGGGTCTTGTGAACTTTAAGATACTACCAGAAAAATGACCAAGTTTCTCTGAATGCAATTTCTTATTCTTCATGAGTTTAAATTGCTGTACTGGTTTCTTTTTCAATACCTGAAGATTTTTTAGTATCTTTTCTTTTTTTTTTTTTAATATCACATCTTTGGTGTCCAAATTCTTATGACATCTCTAATTTTTATTTTGGATTTTTTTCCTTTTTTAATATGTCCATTTAAAATACAGCAATGGGAGAAAATCCTCTAAATGATTCAGTGATTCTATAACACCAACAGCACATCTTTGTTTTACCAGTATCAGATTCATTCATGTCTGCCAAAATACAAAAGCTACTCTTAAACACTTGGGCTCTGTCGTGGGACAGGTGGTAGGAAGTGACATCAGATTTCCCTACTGGGTCTCATTTGGATAAATAGGAGTTTACTATTATAAGAAATAGAGTCGAACATTCCTTTTATTTGTGAGTTCCTCTACTTACAGTCAGTTTTAAGTTACACTTCCAGTTAGTTGTATTTTTCTGATTGCTCACATTTCACACCCCAAATTCCATGGCATCAGATGGAAAATTTGAGTGTCATTAGGACTGCCTATACTTATTGCTATGCAGAAAGCATAAGTAGCTGCAGACTGGGATCTCTATGTGGATGTGTTTATAATCTCTGCAATGAAATTTATCTATGTGGATGTGTTTATGAATCTACTACAATGAGATTACTGAAAGTATACATCAGGGGCCATCCTATCTGTAAGAAGACTAGGCACCAAATAAACATTTCTTCTGAACATTTGCATGAATGTCTCCTTACCTTGGGATGGTCCTTAAACTTAGCATTCATCAGTCTTGAAATGATTCAGCTATATTGTCAGCAGGTGTTTAGACAACATTTATAGCTCTAACACTTAGAAATGATCTAACTAATATTTCTAAACAAAAGTGAAAAATCAAAGCCTATTAGTGTGAGTCCCACATACTCAGAAAACACCCCCTTCCTTATTATTAATCTGGTCCTGTTTCTGTATTTATGGAATGGGTATGAATTATTCTCTAGCTTTGATTCCTTATGAATATTCTAGCAATATTCCAGGATTTAGCTGGAAATTATCTTTCTCTTTTTACATTTCCCATTAACACTTCTAACAAATAAGTCCCCTGAAGTCTTTAGTGGCAAGTCTGGAAGCTTGTTAAGGGTCCAGGATGGAAATGCTGCTACAGAAACTCCATGGCCTGGTTCCATTCTGCTGCTTGTGATGTGGAAACGCAGTCTTTCTTAACCTGCCCCGCCACCTGGTTGCCATGGCAATTAGGCCAGAGCGGTATGTCTAGTTGTAAAGTCTGCACAGTCGGAGGAAAGAGTCTACCAACCTCGACTGTTCGTTTGAAATAGTTTATTTCAACCTGAGACTTTCTCAAGATATAAACACTACCGAGATAATAATGTACACTGGTAAAACTGAGCAGGAACAATTTTGTTAACACTCTAGGTTGCAAAGTGACAGCTGGTGACTTTTGTGAGTTGCATAAAATTAATGCCATTAGCCTGAGTGGAACATCTCCACTGCTGGGGTAAATACTCCCAGGCATTGGCCAGACAATGAGACTAAGCAAAATCTTTCAAGCATCTTAAAATGTGACTGCTAAAAGGTCAGGTTAGCAATTTTCCTTTTTAATATTCAAAACGAGTGGTGAATGTGGAGGGGGGTGATTCTATGTCCAGACTAGAGGCTATTGGCAAAAGATCTTTTGAAATTTTAGGTTGCTAATGTAATTCAGAAGAGTTTTTACATTTCACGAGGCTGCCACATATACCTCGGAAATGAAACCTTAGCTGAATCCCTAAGTCCCCACTCTGCCACTAACATGCTAAGAGACTGCGGACAAAGGACAATTTTTTTGTGCTTCAGTTCCTTCATCTGTAAAATGAGAGATTTGGACGAACAGTCGTTAAGATCTCAGCCAACTCTGAAATTCTCTGATTCTATCAGAGAAAATTATGCAACGATGAGGCTGAGTTTCAACTGGGGCTGTGGACGGCATCCCATTGTTTTATGGTGGCATGTTACTGATCGGTCCGTTTAACGCGAGCCATGGTTACTTTGACTAGGCTGGTCAACAAACCCTTTCCAATTTCTTCCCTGTTTGCTCTAGGGCCTTGTTAGGACATCTCAAAAACACTGTCTTAAATAATTTGCAGAGAAGCTAGTTAAAAAAATCCTCTCACTTCACACTTCATTAAATTGCTCCACAGGCAACACACTGAAGCATCCATAGATTCTAGGAAGCATGAGATGAGTTAAATAAAGGTCAACACATAAAATACAATTGTCCTCAAATTCCTATGGCACCATTTTACTCTCTAGTCTTTTCCACGGGAGTTAAAATTTATATGAAACACATGGAGACTTTATTGACCTGAACATCTGATGAAGAAAAAAGAGAGTTATTCTAGAAAATTATCTGGGGAAAAGACCAAGAAGTAGGACAGGAAATGGAAAGCAAACACGTAGAGGGGAACAGAGATTCAGAGTGCTTACGGATCGAAGGCTGCAAGCAGGAAGTTAAGGAGGAGGCTGATGGACTGCTCCACGTGGATTTGGTGAGTGGTTGGCATCCGTTTGTTGAGCTGGTAAAAAATAGTGGAGAGCACAGCCTCCAAGCGGGCCACGTTGAGTTCTATGTTTGGGTCCAGATTGTTCAGGGCGTTCTCCCGCAATGCTTCTATGACATTCCAAATGTCCACCAGGTGCACTATAATTAAATCAGAGTGAACACATCAGCCCTAAATGTATGGAAGGCAAATACATTACTTTACCTGTCCATCTGCCCTGATTTTTCTAGGCTTCTCACCTGCCTTCAGCTGTCATACTGGTTGACATAAATAAATAAACATAAACTATGCAATATACAGATTGTGCAATATATGGACTGTGCAACATAGATGTGGTATGCAATATATAATTGCAAGCATATGATTTACTCAACACCATGGTAGATGGATTATTTCTAATCTTCACAATGACCCTTGAAATATGGCTGTTATCACCATGTTACATGTAAGAAAAACCTGAGAATCAGGGAAGTTAACTGACAAATGTAAAGGTTCAAGGCCAGTCAACGGCAAAACTGGCATTCAAATCCAAGTCTGCCTGGTTTAAAAGCATTTCCCCACTGTACATTCTGCCCCCTCAAAAAGGAGAGAGGACCAACACTTAAATTCTGTTGTTTGAAAGGATATACAAATTGCATACCACAAATACAATTGAGTATTTAGAATGTTTTCATTTATTTCTATGTTTTTAAGTAGTATGCAGTTTAAAATAAGAAAAAGAGGAAAGCTAAGGCAGCCAGGAAAGACCAGGGGAAAAGGGCAAGTTATTTATAGAACACAGCAGCAGAACTAAGTCACAAATGACTTAACTAACTTGGTCAAGAACAAGCAGTTTGTTGGCTATATTATTGACTAGCTGATTTAAATCATGGTTACTTTCACTAGGATAGTCAAGAAATCTGTTTCTACTTTCTTCCCTGTTTGCCCTGAGGTCTTGTTATGACATCACAGAAACCATTACCAAGACCACACAATGACCATGTATGTCCATCACCCTCAAAAGTTTCCTTGTGCTCGTCCCCATCCCAAGCAACCAATAACCTGCTTTCTGTCAAAATTTTCCACAATTCTGAATAACTGGAATTATATAGTATGTACTTTTTTTAAAAAAAAAATCTGGATTCTTTTACTTTGTGTAACTATTTTGAGATTCATCTATGTTGCTGCACGTATCAATTGTTTGTTCCTTTTTACTGTTGAACAATATTGTATTATATGTATATATCAACATTTGGCTATTAACTCACCTGTTGATGGACATTTGGATTGTTCTAGTTTTGGGTTGTTCTAAATAAAATAGCTGTGAACAATCGTGTACCAGTCTTTGTATAGACATATGCGTCCATTTCTTTTAGTAAATACTTAAAAATAAAGAAGCCGGGCTGTATGGCAGTTTTTTTTAAATTTAAAAAGAAACTTCCAAAGTGTTTTCCAAAGTAGTCGTATAATTTTATATTTCCATCAGCAGTGTATGAGGACTCCTCATATCTTCACCAAGTTTAAGTTTCCCTTTTCATTATGCCGTTGCAAATAAACATTTTGTCTTTTCTCTATGAAATACGTACTTAGATATATGCATATATGGCATATATGGGGTGCATATATCTAAGTACATATTTCACAGAGAAATTTCACAAAACAGGTCCCTAATTTTTGTCCACTTTTTGCTCACTTCTGACACTGTATTTACAAAACAAAACTAACATCTATTGAAGCTCTGACTATGGGTGCCTGGCATTGAGCTATGTGTTTTCTTGGGTCCTCTCTTTATTTTTGTTTCTCCAAACAGATCTGCCATTTCTTGCTTTTGGCACAGGAGAACTTTATCACCAATTCGTTACATTGAAAAACAAACAAGTCAACCGAACCAATCAAGTCTTTTGCAGTCAGACTGTCTTCTCTCAGGCAGAGTTTAACTGCAAGATCTCTAACCACAGGATTCTAAGGGATGAGAGCAATCCATGCAGACATTCTTATTCCCAAATTAAGCATTAAAAAAAACTCAAAAGCCTAACATCTTGCTCTCAAAACTAACTTTATCTACATTTTGAGACCTAAGAGATCAATGGATTAAGCAAATCCCCAAACTAACAAAAACAGGTTATGTAGAACCTTCACTGTGTCCTTCACTTGGATGTTTGCTGTTACTTTTAATAATTACTTAAAATAATGTTTTGTGTTATGAAGGGAAGGGATATGGGCTCAACTTCAAGGAGCACTAGATTTGGAGACCAAAGACCTAGGTTCCCAATCTGGCTCTTCTACTACAATTGCATAACCTCCAGGCTCTAAGACTTAGAGTTTCGTTTTCATCATCTATAAAATGAGAACGGTATTCCTAAAATGCCAAAATGCACAGAGTAAAGACTGGTGGTATCTGGCACATAGTAGACAATGCATTACATAGAACAAATGAATAATGTGAATCATGTCAAAAAATATATCAGTATATCTCTTATTTGGGGCAGATGAATACAAATCACTTACCAGGTAAAATACCTAAATATGTATTAGACTTTGAAAAATTCAGATTTAAGTGATTTCAAATTTGCAACCTTCTCTGTGTGTCAAAAATATTAACCCACAAGGAAGTTATTTGTATTTCTTAGCATTATTTATTCAATTTTTCAATTTAGCAAAGAAGGTACTCCCCAGGAAATGGCATGTATGAACAAAATTTATGTATTTATTGAAATTATTGAGGGGAAGAACTGGGATTCTTCTAATTATTCTCTATAGATTTGATCTGCAAATCCTCTGGATCTAGTTCCCCGGATGCATCTGGGTACAGGATGCAAAGAGAACAGTGATGATGACATCAGATCTATTGTCCTGCCTGGTCTCTGTGACTATTCTCACCTGGTTCCTGGCTATGGGTCATGTGAAATAGGCATTTGGGGAGAGGAGCGTGGACTGTGAACTTGAGCTCTTAGGAGGGAGATAGCTACAAGCGAAGAGACATAGCTGCTGGCAGAGGGAGGAATCTGGGTGCTTAGGTCTCTCCTGGTGAGCCTTTGTAGAACACAGGGGCTGCTCTCAGAATTCCCAGGGGTGGGATCATTGAGGCCTGTGGGAGTGACCACAGGAGTGGCCAGCATGCTCACGTAAAAGTCCCTCAGGCACTTGGGCCTCTGTGTGCACAGCCTACACTCACCTCTCCCCTCCAAGCGTGCCTGCTCTGGGGTTCTCTCCCTTCCTGAATGGCATCACCTCTCCTGTCCCCATCCCAGCTAGAAGCTGGATTTCATTCCCAGGTGTTATCAATAACCAAGTCCTATGGACCCTATATCTTCTAAAAATACCACTTTAATCCTGCCATTTTCATGGACACTTATTGCCAGCACCAAATTCTGTCACCCAATGCTATCACTGTTATCTCTCACTGGTTGACTGCTTCATTCTTTCCCCATTCCAATTCTTTCTGAACTGTAAACTTGACATGTCGCTTGCATGCTGCTTAGCGTCCTTTGATAACTTCCTATGCATTTGAAATCCAAACATGGCTTGCAAAGTTTCTTTTTTTTTTTTTTCCATCTGGCCCCTGCTTACTTCTCATCTACATCTCATCCATCAACCTTACTGTCAACACTACTTCCTCCAGGATGTCTTTGTGGATCCCCCAGCTTCAAGTTGTGTACCCCTCCTATGTGCCACCTTAGAATGTTGTTCTTCCCTATTACAGCATGCCGTGGGCGCTCTTGTGTGGACCAGCTGGTTGCTTGTTTCCCGCTTCCCACTCTGTATTTACGGGTCACAGGAAGAGACTATGTCTGTCGAGATAACTGTTCACACCCCTAGCACCCGTCACAGTGCCTTACACATCACAGGAGCTTAATAAATATCTTTTGACCAAATGAGTGGATGACAAAGAAATGGCAAAACAGTGAAATAGGGTTTTCTAAAGATGCATTTGATTTCTAAAGAAGCAATAGGGCATAGTTGTGAAGAACCATACAAGTATCGATTTGAATTCTAGGTATACTGTCAGTCATGTTACTTAACTTCTCCTGAGTCTTCATCTTAGAAAAATGGGACTAAAGAATGCATTTACCCTCAGATGGTTACTGTGAGGATTAAATGAGATAATGCCTGGAAAACACTTGGAATAGGGCATGTCATTTAGGAAAAATAGTTGTTTATTATTATGGACAAATAAAATATCTAGAAATCATATGAAAGCTATTAAAAATGCCCAGATTTGTGTCTCCATATATTCAAAGTCTGAATGTAAGAAAAAAGAAAACACTAATTCTAGCTAACTGTGAGAATAGATAATTATAAACAATTTAAAGGAAGCTAGTTTCCATAATTACATGCAAGATACTGTGGTAGGGCCGGGGGATTCAAAGGCAAAGAATGTAGATGTGGTTCCTGCCTTGGGGAGCTAACAGTCTGGTGGGGACACAGATGTGACCCACATAATCACACAAAAACAGGTAATCAGAAGTGATGACACACTGTGACACACAGGGCGCTAGGTACAAAATGGGATTATGATGTGGTCATGATAGGGCCAGGGATACAAGATAAGGCTGGAGAAGCGATGTAGCCACGATGAGGATTTTCCTCTTCATGCTGAATATGAAGACACAGGTTTTAGGAGGGAGAGTGACAAGATCAGAAATGCAGCTTAAAAATATAATTTCTGACTTGAAGGGAAGAAGGAATGAAGATGGACAGATATGCAATGGGAAGTAGCTGGAGACTATTGTTTTAGTGCAAGTAAGAGAGATGGCAGGTATTTTTGCATAGGGGGATGGAAGTATGCAGCAAAAACTGTAATCATGCATATTGTGTATTTATTCTCCAGGGGTGGCACAGTGGAAAGGATTCAGATTTTGCAGTTATAAAAACTGAGGTTTCATTTCTGGCTCCACTAATTACTGTAAAACTGGGCAAGCTATTCCACTGCTATTTGCGTTAAAATAATTAAACACCCTCTGATCTAAAGCCATCCTATGCTAGTTATAATTAATTTATAAGATTTATGAGTCTAAAACTAAGGTTTAGCTGAGTCTCCCAAATTCCATAAATTAATCAACCCATAATTTTGATCATATTAATATTATGTGTGTGATATAAAAGAAGTACAGGCCATATTCCAGCCACAAAAGCAGATACTTAATCAGTTTAGTTGTCA